TTCTGTTGCTTTCCTGGCTGCCACAAAGCGAGCAGTTTTACTGAACTGTGGCTCCCCATCCTTGAAGCCAGTCAGTCAAGAACCGAGACTTGAATCAAAACACACTTCTTTAACTTGTGGGTATCAGATATTTCGTCCCAATGACGGGAAAGTGATGAACACAACCGAGCATGAAATTCTTATGAAGCTGTCGTGCTCTTCCCTAACCTGCACACAGCACATGTGGAGGCCATGTGTAAAGATGGAGGCTTCAATAGTGGGATAGTTCTGGATTCCTGAGTCCACACTTGGAAGAGAGATGTCCCTGAGCACTGTCATTGAGAAGCACTCCACGTTGGACTTCTGCATGAATGAGAGATCAAGCTATGTTGTGCTGCGACTTTGGAGTTGTCACGAAGAACACTTCATTCTGGCTCATATAAGTTATTGCCATTGTTAGATTAAATCTAAATCTCATTTAAAGGAAAACTAATAGTATAAGCCAGTGTGGGAGTGATGCTTTGATTATGGAATACCATTTGTCCACTGCTAAGTTCCCAGTATAAATGTTTTAAAGGCAAAATGACTCACTAACAAGACGCTTGTATGAGCATTTATGTTTGGCTAGTTTCAGTACAAGGCCGTTAAAGTATACTCCTGTGCTCGGGATGTAACTGAGTGGTAGAACACTTGCCTAGCAGGCACAAGGCCCTGGGTATCACCCCCAGTGCTAACAAAAGAAAGGATTTTTCTAGTCAAGTATTTGTATCTTTGCCAAGTAGTATCAGAACAACCTCAAGCATATGAATCTGGATAATTAGGATCATAACAGAAAATATTAAGAATAGACAGCAGGACGAACAGGTTGGCCATGGAGAAACACTAGAATTTCTACTATGAAGCCTTTTAAAAATTTTGGATGCATAACTAGAACTTTCTCTTTAAAAATAATGTTGAGCGGTACTAATAATATTTATTTATAAAAGTATTAAACTGCATTTTCTGCATTTTTCTCATAGACGATGAAAATGGATTCAGGATTGTGAGACCCTTCTACTTCCCATTTCACTGCACTTTTGGTATCCATACAAGCAAACCAATGTAAGGTAGAAAAAAATAAGTATATTTAACTGAAATGGATGCTACACTGCTATTTATTTGTGGAATTATACTGATAGATAAATATATATTAAATTAGAAATGGTTTTATCCAAGCATTTTAGGTCTAGAAGCTGAGCTTATGTTAAAAAGGAATTTGTGATGTTCTTTGATGAAGTTGCTGTGAGTTTTTGTTCCTTTTGGAGAGTTTAGTAGATATAGCGCTCATTTATGAGACATGCCAATACCTTAGCCTATAGAAAGAATAGGCTAGGAAGGGAACCCAGGACGCAGAGCAGAGTCCAGTGGTTGCCCCCAACCAGGGCAGTCAAGTGATTCATGTACAAAATTTAAGCCAGCCCCCATTGGGGCTGTTTCTGAGATCCAAATGTGTCTAGTTAAGTGAGGCAGAGACAAAGATCATTACTATGCATGAGTATCACTTGTACTATTTAATTCATAGCAGAAATGCAGCCAGTGGGAGGTGAGTGTAGGCACCCAGAGATCAACAAAAGCAGGGCCCAGGCTCTGGGAGGGAAATTTGGCAAAGCCTGAGATAGATAAATAGAAATCTGTGTAGAGTTCAAGCTCTGGCTTCGTGATGAGCATTGAAATCTCAGGCACATGTTACTGATATGAACTGACTCATTGTTAATACGTATGTATTCCCCTTATTGATAACATCATAAAAATAATAGCAGCTGTTATCTACTGGATACCTATTGAGTTCCAGTACATTAATGTATCCTTTCACATGAATGCAATGATTACTACAGCCCAGTGAGGTGGTTACTAGTGTCATTATTTCCAAAGAAGAGGGATGTTGAAATGTTGCAAGATTTAATAGCTTGAGCACAGTTACACTGTATAGTAATAAGCCTAGACAGATTTCAATGCAGACTTTGACTTCCTGGGGCTATCCTTATGGCTGTGACCCAGAACTGCTAGTAGTGCTTTCTCTGGTCTACCACCTGTTCTGCGTAGGTTTTGGTGGGGAACTAGATGGTCTGTCAGCAGCTAGAGGGCATCAGAGATCTAACTTCAAGGGTCTAGGAAACTCTCTCTCTTTCCTTCATATTGCTTAACAGAGTGACTGAACATCAGTTAGTGAAGAGATCCCCTTATTTCAATGGCACCTCACGCTAACCTATCCCTGCATAAGCAGTTCAGGAGAAGAACACCCATTTTTTAAAATTGACTTTCAAATGCAAAGTTGGGAAGGTTAAGGAGAGAAACAACAACACAACCAAAAAGTCTCCTTCCTCAGAATTTAGGTTTATGATGCCTGTGGGAAATGATTTTTCTCCTCCATAGAGGCATGATGTGATATGGATTTCCTCATAAAATGTGAATTTTCAAGATCCACCTGTACCTTCCTTCCATCTGTACCACTTTGAACAGTTGGCCAATCATGTCAACTAGTCCAATTTAATAAGTCTATGTGCACCTTGAGTTAGATACCCACTAGGCAGTCAAATGAACGACTTCCGTTTGTCTTTTTGGTCATCCTGTCCCCAGTGGACCTGACACATAGTGAGCACTCAGTGAATGCTGGCTGCTGCTCGTATTTGTGTCACTATCATTGTGTTCAAAGTAATCAATGTTACAGCTGCAAAGGTTTTAGATTAAGGACCCTCTATTAAAACACTTGTGTATTTCTAGTGGCCATTAACTAGGACATCATTAGAGACTTTGGAAAAGATTAGCTAATGAGAGGCTCAGTGCATTAATGAGACAACTCGGCTGTACTTTTTCCTCCCTTAATGGCAGATCTTCTTACTCTCCAAGGCACTATTAAAACTATTAAAATAACTAATGAGATCATTATCGTTGTCAGAAAAGTCCCAGCCCGAGCAGATATCTTTACTAGTAAATGTTTTACTAGTAAGTATTTCTTCCAGCAGAACTTCTTACATGCATAATAAAATCAAAAGAGAGATAACAGCAGAGCAGGGATCCAACTGGGGGATAACTGGGTCCAAACAACAAAGAGAGCACGTTTACCTAATGTTACAATTTTTCAGATGCGCAATTTAAGTTGTTTCTTCATGTGCAGACTATTTAAGGCTGAACTTGGCTGTGACTTTTAAATCCTATGAGCACAATATTGTTAAATAATACTCAGACCTAGATGAAATACATGAGACATATCCAGCAAGACTACAGTGTATAACTGATAGTAGTAAAATATATGTGAGAGAGTAATAGCATGTGCAGTGTCAGTATCTAGGAATTCCACAGCCAACAGGTACAGATTCTAAGTTCCTCTTTTTTCTGACAGAATAATTTTTGGTGTCCATGAAAGAACTGACTATATGGAAGACAGCTTAGCACAAGGCTGCCACTGAGTTGGGGGTCTCTCCACTAATTGATCATCTAGCTATATTTTCTTGCTCTGTCTGATTGTATTTCCAAGATCCATTCTTACTGCAGGTTTATTGGCAATAAACAATGTCTCTTACAGAGACTAGGAATACCTTGAAAAGCTTTTCTGGACATGTGGTTAGTACATGAGCATCCTGAAAGAACTTGATTTAATAGTTGGTGTTTGTAATTCTTTTAGAGTCAAGCTTTCATCAGGTGTTCCTAAAGAGGGGAAGTGGGTAATGGACCCTTTCCTCTCTAAGAACAAAGAACAGTACCTGGCCTGTAAAATTTATTTAAAAATCAAAGCAATGCACTGTTATTATCAAAAGAGTCAAGTGTCATTATGGACCAACCAGTAAAGTCCCAGTCTGTTTTGATCTGAATGCAGCATAGTAACAAAACCACCATTGCTTAATATCAGCATAAATGAAAAATAAAGTAAATTTAAGTAAGTCTTTATGGTACTTTATTAAGGAATACAGAGGGAGGGAAAGAGAGAGATAGATAGACCCCATTTTCTGGTGGGATCTGTTTTTAATTTGATCGAATTCCCTTAGAGAAAAACAAATTGTATAAAAAAAACCAATTGAAAGTGATTCTGCAATATTTGAATGTCCTCAGAAGGTATATTTGGATGCGAATATGAGAAAGGACCCTCTAACTAGCCACAGTGCTTATGTAATGTACTCATTCTATGGTAAATTGGCCTTACATGACCTATCTCTCTAGCTAAATTGCAGCATTATTAGGTACTTCTGTAATCTTAAAAGTGACAAACTCGGAAACTTGTCAGAATTAATGAAAACCTCATGTGGTCCCTCTCTTTTTTGTTGGAGAGCTGAGGACAGAACTCATGACCTCATATATGCTATGCTCACTACCACTGAACTACATTCTCAGCCCCATTTCACAGCAAAGAAAAATTAAATATTGGCAGCAAAGAGATTGATATGACTTATTTTTGCTACTCATGCTTTACTGTGTGCTTATGTGGAAGGGACCTAAACTGTTAGATAGACCTAGCATCATATTTTTGACTCCTTCAGTTTCCAGAAAACAAAACAAAACACATAAAAAACCAAATTGGCAACAAAACCAATGCTGGACATGTATAGTGTGTTGCAGATATTTAGTTATCCTCTTAATAAATACACCTTTCTAAACCTGTGCAGACTAGATAGATAGATAGATAGATAGATAGATAGATATGTAGGGAAGCTATTACCTATTTTGCATTTTGGCTCTGTTTTGGATGAGATACTGCAGAAATATAAGTAGCCAACTATATATCCTTTGGATGGAGGGCTGCTGAGGACTGGCCTAGGCCTTACAAATGCTCAGTGCTGTACCACTGAATTAGACCCTCAGCTTTTAAAACTTTTGTTTTGCTTTTTGGAGATGAGAGTCTTGCTTTGTTGCCCAGGCTGGTCCCAAACTCTTGAGCTCAAGCAGTTCTGTTGCCTCAGCTCTAGAGTAGCTGAGACTACAAGCACAGTGCCCACTGAGTGCCATTGGATGTTTTAAAGAACCTTTTGTATATTTATCATTGGCTATAGGAGATGACTGTTTCAGCTAATCTTCATTGTCAGCATGACTGGATCGGGGGACTCCTGGAGAACTGACTGGAATATGGAGCCACTGTGCCCAGCAGAGGGCTAATCCACTGATGCTCACTGGTGAATTTTCTGCAGGAGGTAGGTCCAGTTTGAAGGGGTCACTGGGGTCAGACCTTGGAGGGCAGAGCTCTCACTGGTGCTCTTCTCCTGTGCTGTGCTCCCTGCTGCCATGGTGCAAGTAGCTCTGCTTTCCCCACGCCCTTCCACCATGCTGTTTCTGTCTTGGAGTTGGCTTACCATGGACTGAAACCTCTGAAACCATGGGTGGTTTCCTGCTTTGAGCTGTGCATGTTAGGCATGCACATGAGGGTCCATGGCCTAGTGAAGAAATTGGATATCTGAAAGATAAGCATAAGCCATTCTGTAGTCTACAATGAGTGAATGCTATGGGAATATAGAGAAGTGAGTGTAAATCAGGTTTAAAGGAAATTTTAATTGGTGTGGTAAGATTTGCATTTAGAAGGACATTTAGGAGTTTCCTGTACATATAGGGAAAAAAGACCATAATTTCATGCAATTTTAATTTGTCAATCAAAAATATATTTTTTTAAAACAGCGGGACAATGACACAAATGCGTGAAGTTCAGCTATTCTCTATTCTTAAAGTCTTCTCTAGAAATAATCTTGGGAGTGTCTTATTCTGGAAATCAGTTAGCATAAAAATCTTTATTGTTAAGCAGAACTATATGATGGAGAAGCAGTGAAATTCTTATAAGAAAATGGGTTGGTGCAGAAAATATCTCTTTCTCAAAGTTTGGTGATGTTAAAGTCAATCAGGGTGTAATGAGATATTAATCAAGATATACCTACAGGCTAATTTTTAAGAAGGAAACAATTCAAATGACTAAACAACCTGTACATACGAGTCAGATAATCACCAGTGCCTTTGTGTGTATGAATGAGTTCAGCTGCTTCTTTTTATACCTTATAGGAGCAACAAGTAACTTGGAGTCAAAGGAGTCCCCACTAAGGCTGAGACCAGGCAGCTATTTGCGCAGCGATACTCTTTTGTCTGTAGTGCAGTGCATCTCCTCACACGCGTGCCCAAAAGAGCTTCTGAGTTAGGGGTAGAACTCTGAGAATCCCTCTGTCTCCAACACTCCCATGGGCCACAAGTATCACTACAGGTTTTGTTGCAATAAAAGTGAACCTTATGGCAACTTTGTGTGACTTTGTTATTTTTGAATTCACTAAACTAACCCTGGGCAAAGTTAACAGCTTAAATAGATACTAAGGCCAGCCACTTCACTATGCTCAAATAGCTCCTCAGAACTTAGGGTGTCTTGGTCCATTTCTCATCACTGAGACAGTGCTGAACACCAACAACTTGAAGGAGGAGTCTGTCTTGGCTCAGGCTACAGTCTGTGATTGGTGGCTGTGGAGAAGAAATGGCGCAGAGGGGGGCTAGCGGAGGAAAGTGGCTCACCTCATGGCAGCCAGGAACTGGAGAGAGAGGGGAGGAGCTGGGGAGGAGATACAAACTTCCAGGTGGCGTCTTAGCGAGCCACCTCTAACCAGGCCCCATTTCCTGAGAGCAAGTGGGTTGTAGTGCTTCCATGGTCCAGTCACCTTCCAAAAAGCCCTGCCTATGAGCACAGGAGGCTCTTGTGGGACACATGAATCTAAACCATAAGAGGTGGGCTGAAAGTCCAAGCACACATACCAGAGACTCTAAGCAAATACAGTGGGCTGAGAAACACAGGGGAAGAGTCCTGGGTGAATAGCTGGACCGAGTGCTGTGACTCTCAGCTGGCTTTCAGAGCTCACCCACAGAGGACCCAACATCTACACACAGTCCAATGTACACACCCTTTCCAGGGTTACACACTCTAACCCTAGAATGACACTGTTTGGTGTGGTGAAATTGTTTGATTGTATCTCCCATTCCCCAAGGTGGTGCTGTGGGGACATGGTAGAACATCTGGACAGCAGGGACTGAGGGGAGTACACAAGGGGGTCTCAGCCTTTCACTTGTACTCTCTCTCTCTCTCTCTCTCTCACACACACACACACACACACACACACACTCCTGCCTCTGTCAGAGATAAGCCAATGAGGCCCCATGCCCTTGGACCCCTAAAGCCACATGCTAAACCAACTTTTTGCCTTATGTAGTCACTGCTGCCTTGGGCATCTTGATATAGTAATGCAAAGCTGACTAATACACTCAGCATCTTCTCTCACATTTTATTCTCACTTTTCTACATTCCCAAAAAGTCCAAAATGCAGTCTGCATTACTGCTTCCATCTTTCTTTTGCCACATCTTTTCATCCAGTCCCCAGCTCCAACCCTATGGTCATAGGTGGTCACCTAAGAAAAGTTTTAGAGCATGGAGCTCTCGAAGATTGAGTTTAGGCAACTCATGTGGCATGCCCAGAACACAGAAACCCTTCCAAAACATCAAAGTAACTTTTAAAAATGAAGGCAGGAGCAGGGGAGAATATGAGAGAGAGAGAGAGTAACACACACTGGGCAGGTGGAAAGCAGACAGAGACAAGGGGCACTTACTTAGGCAACTCAAGAAATTGAACTGCTAAGTCAGGAAATCCAACACAACTGAAATGCCAGGATTTTCAAGAAATTCAGAAATGAATGGTATATATCTTTGAAGTGGGAGTAAAAAGAATCAAGATAATACACATATAATATACAAAATATATGCATATAAATATGTATTTAAAGGCCTTTAGCAAGAAATTTAGATATTTTTCCCCATTTGAAACAACCCAGCAACTTCTTTTCTCTACTGGTATAAAAAAAAAGAAAGCTTTTCTGGACATGGTGGCACCCGCCTGTAATCCCAGCCCTCGGGAGGCTGAGGCAGGGGGACTGTCTTGAATTCAAGGCCAGCCTGGGTAACATAGTGAGTTCATGGCCATCCTGAAGTACACAGCAAGACCCTCTCTCCCAAAAATGAAAAAGGAAAAAGAAAGTGTTATACTCTGCTAAGGGTAAAATTGGAAATCTCTGCCTTGAAATCCAAAAGGCACGTTGAGGCATAAGCACTGAAACAAGAGCTGAAGGATGATGTGGGTAGGCACCCCTCCAGGCACTCCTCTGCTCAACTTCCTGACTTTACCTCAGGTAGAATGTAGGAAAAATCTGCCCCAGGGAGTACAGCAGACACAAGAGTGAAAAATTCTGATTATTTCCAAAACAAGCGTTTTCTTCCAAATATTCTCAATCTGGCCACCATGAAATCTCACAGGTAAGAGCTTCCAGTCATATTTTTGGTTTCTCAGTCATACATGACAAACACCTGAGGATTATTGCTATCTGAATAAGGTCTCTATCAAAAAAGATGAAGAAAGAAGCAATGCAAGCAAACTCATCAAAAGTAAATAAATCAGAAAATGTAAAGAAAAATGAAAATCTAAAAATTAATCTATATATCTGAAGTGATGAATGAAAAACAAGCGAGAGAAATTTGGAAAATACAAAAGAGTTTTTAGAACTTCAAAAAATTATGGCATAAGTAAAAACACAATAGGTTTAAAAAGTAAAATTAATCAAATTTCCCATAAAATTGGATAGAAAGAACAATGAATGAGAAATATGAGTAATATGAAAATTAAAGGGTTAGTTCAGAAGGTACATCATCTGAAACATAAAATTAATGCCAGTCATTTGCTTCCCAAAACTTGAAGATGGTGGAATACTTCTAAACTCATTTTATGAGATCAACATTAACCTGATACCAAAGTCAAACAAGAACACTAAAAGAAAAGAAAACTACAGGCAAGTACTATTCATGAGCATGGGTGCAAACACCTTCAATAAAATACAAGCAAACAGAATTTAGCAGAACACTGAAAAGATAATTTATCATAGCAGATGGAATTTATCCCAGGAACACAAGGACTGTTCAACATAAATAAACCAGTAAGTGTGATATACCATCTTAACAAAATGAACAGTTTAAAACTACATGATAATCTCAGATACAGAAAAAAGCATTTGGATAAATCCAACATTCATTCATGATGGAAAAAATCCTCTCAACAAAATAGTTATAAATAATGTACCTCTACTAATAAAGGCTATAAATAATATATCCACATCTTGAGAAAGTAAACATCTTTCTCCCTCCCCCTCCTTCTTTTGAGATGAGCTCTTGGTATGTTGCTCAAGACTGACAGAATTTGTGATCCTCTTGCCCCAGCCTCTGTTTTCACTGGGATTGAAGACATGCACCACTGCACTTGGCTCTAACATCATTCTCAATGGTAAAAAGTTGAATCATCTTCCTCAAAGACCAGGAACAAAACAAAGACACTCACTATCACTACTTGTATTAAATGTAGTACTGAAAGTCCTAGCTAGAGCAATTAGGCAACAAAAAGAAATAAATCATGTGCATAGGAAAGAAAGAAGTGAAATTGGCTGATGATATGATCTTATATACAGAAAATTCTAAAGAGTCCACAAAAAACTATTAGAACAAACAAATTCAGGAAAACCACAGATTCTAAAAACATACAAAATTTAGTAGCACTTCTATAAACTAACAGTAAGGTACCAAAAAATTAAGAAAACAATCTCATTCACAATATCATCAAAAAAATGTAAAATATTCAAGTAAATTTAACTATAGATATGAGAAATCTAAACTAAAAAATACTGATGAAATAATCAAAGACAAATAAATGGAAAGATACTCTGTTAATAGGTTAGTAGAATTAATATTGTCCAAATTTCCATACTATCCAAAGCCACCTATATATGTAAGGCACCATCTATCCAGATTCCAGTGATACTTTTCCCAAAAATTTTTTTTAAATCAAGCATAAAATGTATATGAAACTACAAAAGACCATGAATAAAATAATCTTGAGCAAAAAATGAAGAATCAAGGTATACTGTGTACAGGTACAAATTCCTTATGATGAATGTGATCACTATGTTTCCCTAAAATGTACCAATAGAAAAACAAAAGAATAATTTTGAGCAAAATGACCAAAATGGGAGGCATCACAGCTCTGGATTTCATAATATACAAAGAGTTGTCACAATCAAAACAACATAGTACTGGTGTAAAACCAGACATATCAACAAATTGTAAAGGATAGAAAAACCCAGAAACAAACTCAAGTATTGATAGTCCACTGATTTTTGATAAAAGTGCTAAAAATACACAATGGGAGGAGAATACCTTCTTCAAAGAATGATATTTTAAAAACTGGATATTCACATGCAGAAAAATAACACTGGGGTCTTTCCTCATATCATGTGCAAAGAGCAAGTCAAAATGTTTTAAGGCTTAAATGTAAGATCTGGAACTCTTTTGATCCAGTTTTGTTTTGTTTTGGTGTTTTTTTGTTTTGTTTTGTTTTGGGCTTTTTTTTTAGTTTTTTTTTTCTGGTACTGGGAATTGAACTCATGCAATGCACTTGCCAGGCAGGCGCTGTGCCGCTGAGCTAAATCCCCAGCCCCTAAATAATGTTTTTTTGTTTTTTGTTTTTCCAGTACCGGGGATCGAACTCCCAACCTCAAGCTTGCCAGGCAGGCACTGTGCTGCTGAGCTAAATCCCCAGCCCCTAGGAACTCTAACTACTGAGTAAAACACAGAGGCAAAGCTTCAGGACATCAGTCTGGCCGACAGCATGTTGGCTAGGACTCCAAGAGCATGACAGCAAGAGCAAAAGAAGACAACCAGAACTGCTTGAATCTTATACTCTTATGTCTAATGAACCGAGCATTTATGTCTTACACTCTTATGTCTAATGAACCGAGCATTTTTGTGTTGTTTTGATTTTGTCTTCATTGTTTTGTCAGTTTTTTAATTTTTAAAATAAAAAAATAAAAACCTTCTGTACAACAAAGGCAACAATTAACTGAGTGAAAAGAATGCCTGTGAAATGAAAATAAATATTTACTAGCTATATCTGAAAAAGGGACAAATATCCAAAATATATAAGGAATTCAAATAATTCAATAACAAGAAATGTAACCTGATTTAAATATAGGCAAAGTATCTGAACAGACATTTCTCAAAAGAGGAAATATAACTGGCTAACAATTTATTTTGAAAAATGTCCAGTATCTCTAATCAAGGAAACACAAACTAAAACCATCATGAACCTCACAACCTCCCAGTTGTTTGAATTGCTGTAAAAAAGATGAATGAAGGCTGGGAATGTGCTCAATGGTAGAGCGGTT